CAGGCGGTGGTGCCCCCGAGCCCGCCCTGTCCCCGCCCCGCGGCCCTGTGACCCCACCTCATCCCTGTGCCCCAGATGACGCCGTCTGCTTGCCCGCTGAGGAGGACCCGCTGAGTACGTCCTCAGCGACCCCGGTTACCTGTACACGGGAGGAGCCCTGGAACTACGGCCAGGCAGCACCAGGGAGGGCTTGGGGGACGGCCCCCAGCTCGGCCGCTCAGTGTTGTGTTTGTTTCCAGTAAATGTTGTTTTATCCCATCCCCCCTCAAGCCCCCTCCCCTCCCCACGTACGAAAGCTTTGTTTCCGTTTTTCCGACCCTCTTTTCCTTGTCCCTCCCTTCCTCTCTCCCTCATCCCTTGTTTCCCTGCCCCTTTGAACACTTTCTTCTCATTCCCCAAAATCCAGCACACTTCTCAGTCCTTATTTCCACTTTCGGTTCCTCACATCAGAGAAACAATGAGGCACTTAAACATGTGTGTCCAATTTATTTCACTTGAGTATGGTCTCAAAGCTCATCCATTTAGCTAGAAATGTCTGAAGCCCGTCCTTCTTCATGGCCGAGTAGTACTCCACTGTTTAAAACAATCACATCTTCTTTATCCACTCCTCGGCTGATGGGCATTAGGGCTGTTTCCAAATTTGAGCTGTTACAAACTGTGCCGCGATACACATGGGTGTGCATATGTTGCTGTGGTGATGCTTTTAATTCTTTCAGGAAGACACCAAGAAGAGGAATAGCTGGGACCTCTAGTCCTAGTTCTTTGAGGCATCTCCACACTGACTTCCACAGTGGCTGCGCCCGTCTGCTCTCCCACCAGCAGTGGAGCGGGGTTCCTTTCTCCCACAGCCCCGCCAGCATTTGTTATTGGTTGATTTCTTGACAGCAGCCATTCTTTCTGGGGTGAGGTGGAATCTCGGTGTTGTTTCCGTCTGCATCTCTCAAATGACCAGTGATGGTGAACATTTTTTCATATATTCATTTGCTGTTTCTAATTCTTCATATGAGTCATGTCTTTTCATTTCAGATGTGCATTTTTGGTTGGGGCTTTAAATTTTGGTGGTCTGATTTTTTTGAGTTCTTCATATATTCCATATTTCTATATCCTTTGTCTAATGAATAGGTGGTAAAATTTTTCCCACACTGTGGGTTGCCTCTTCACTCTGTTGGTGGTTTCGCTTGCTGTGCAAAAGCTTTTTAATGAGATGAGGTCCTAGTTATTGATTCTTTGTAGTATTTCTTGTGCAATCTGGGTTTTGTTCACAAAGCCTTTGCCTACTCCTATGTCCTCAAGCGTTCCACCCATTCTCTCTTCCAGCAGATGTAGTGTTTCTGTTTTAACATTTTGATCTTTGATCCATTTCGATTTTAGTTTAGTTTGTGGAGAAAGACACAGGTCTAGTTTCAATTTTCGGCAGGTGGAAAGCCAGTTTTTCCAGCACCATTCATTTTATTTATTTATTTACTGTTCGGTACCAGGGGTTGAACTCAGGACCTTGAGCCTACGAGGCAGGCACAGTGCCGCTGAGCTCAATCCCTGGCCCCTCCAGCATCATTCGTTAAAGAGGCTGCCTTTCAGTGAAGGTGTTTGGCTCCTTTGTCAAGGATAAGGTGGTTGAGTGTGTCTAGAGTTGTTTCTGAATCCTCTTTTTTGTTTGTTTTGAGATAGCATCTAGATATGTAGTCCAGGTTGACCCACAGTGATCCTCCTGCCTCAGCCTTCTGAGTGCTGGGATTACTGTAGTGCACCACCACACCCAGCAATTATTTCTTTTTACTTTGAGACAGGGTCTTGTTGTTACCCAGTCTGGCCTTGAACTTAGAATCTTCCTGCCTCAGCCTCCCTAATAGCTAAGATTACAGGTGTGCACCACCATGTCCAGCAGTGCTTTACTCCTTAATGGCTGCACCCTATAGGTGGCTTCCTTAGGGGGAGGTGGGTTCCCCCAGGGTGGCGGGAAGGGGGTGTCCATGGTGTGCATTAATTTCCCACCACTGGTGGAGCTCTCCTGGCTCTTCCTTTATTTTCTGAACTAGTTTGAGAAAAACGTCTTGGATTGCTGCATGTTCCTGATGACCCAGAGCTACCCGAAGACCATGAACATGCGGGACCCCGTGATGGTGGGGAGGAACATGGGAGCCATGGTAGGTGTGGGAAAGAGGGTGGGCGGGGGCAGGGGCAGTTTCCAGGCCCTCTGCTGGACCTGGAGCTGCAGCAGCTCACCAGCGACTCTGACAGCTTGGGAGACGATTGTGGGTGCCACCTTTCAAGGTGGGGCCAACCCCTGAACCCCAGTTTCCCTGCTGTGTGTCCTGTCCCTGGGACCAGGCTGCAGTCAGGGTGAGTGCATGGCTCCAGCTCAGCTGGGAGCTTTCAGGGTTAGCGTGGAGAACCCCATGGCTGTGAGCCCATCCTGGGCAAGCAGGCTGCCGTCACCTGGGCCCTGGGTGTGCGGAAGTCAGCTTCCCAGAGCACCGCTGGTAGGGACCACACACCCAGGACCTGCTCACGCGATTAGAGCTACAGATATTTAGTGCATTCAAAATCAAAGCTGAGAAGCTCAGAAACTGTTCTAAAAAAGTAGTAATAAATGCACTCCACGTTAACATATTTTTGTAAACCCCCCCCCCAAAATAAAACCCTAGAGCTGGGTAAGGAGCTGCACACACCTGTCATCTCAGCACTCAGGAGGCTGTGGCAGGAAGATTGCTGTGAGTTAAGAGCCAGCCTGGGCTACATAGTGAAACCCGGTCTCAAAAAAACCAATCCCCCCATCAAGTGGCAGGGATGGTCAGAAGGTTCTCCGGAGAGACACAGGCCACTGAGACAGGAGAAAGAGTTTAGGGACGGAAGATCCTACAGTGGCACAGGATTTACCCTGCTCACCCATAGAACAGCTCTAAGGGAGAGCTGTCATGACCAGCGTTTACGGGGGTAAACTGAGGCCAAGACGGCATCGGCGGGTAGGCGGTGGGCGTGCCGTGCTGCCCGCTGAGGGCCACTGCCCTCTGGATGTCAGATCAACTCGCAGAACAAGGACAGCGTGCTGGTTGGGAACTGGTCAGCGAGTACGAGGGCGGCACGGCGCCCACCTGTGGACGGGCAGCGCGCCCATCCTGCAGCGGTTCCTCAGCTCCAGGACGCCCGTGTCCTTCGGCCAGTGCTGGGTCTTCGCGGGTGTGCTGACCACAGGTGGGTGAGGCCGGGGCGGGCTCCGGGCGCGCGGGGGCTCACGCCTGCCGCCTCTGCAGTGCTGCGGGCCCTCGGCATCCCGGCGCGTGACCGTCTTCGACTGCGCCCACCACACGGAGGAGGACCTCACGCTGGACGTGTTCGTGAATGAGATGGGCAGGACGGTGCCCAACAAGACCAACGGCTCCATCTGGTAGGCGCCCTCACCCCACCCTGGCTGCTGCTCCATTCCAAGGCCCAGGCGGCCGGTACTTGGCACTTTCAGTAGTTTTCAAATTTAGTCCCAGGAAATCTGTACCAGGAGTGCCTCGTCATCCCGCGAACCTCAGTCTTGTTAAAAACGCAGATTCCTAGCCAGGTGAGGGGGTGCTCACCTGTAATCTCCGCTCTTCGGGGGGCTCAGGCAGGAGGATCCAAATTCGATCCCAGCCCGGGTAACATAACCATACCTTGTCCCAAAATAAAAAGGGGCCAGGGAAGGCAGGACTGGGAAAGAAACAGAAAAGCCGCTTCCTGGACTGCTAGACCGCAGCCCTCGCCTGCAGATGGGAAGGCCAGACAGTCTATGATCTGCGTGTCAGGCCAGGAGACCTTCCTGTGACTGCCGCCCACTGCAGCACAAAGCTCTGTGGCCTTCGCTCTCAGAGCACATGGCCCTTGCAAGCAGAAAGGGACCAGAGGAGGGGATGTGGGGAGTGACGGGGCGGCACCGAGGGAAAGGCAGGCCGTGGTTCTGACATCTAGGGCATCCTCGCTGGGGCTGGGCTGCTGCTGTGAGACCCTAGGTTACAGGGCCAAGGAAAGGGGAGGAGGGCGGAAGGAGAGAGAACTAACTTGAAACTCCTGGAAAGGAGGTGTGGAAACAGTTTCATGTAGCCGGGCATGGTGCCGCGTCTGCGATCGCAGAACTCTGGAGGCTGAGGCAGGAGGATTGCTGTGTTCGAGGCCAGCCTGGGCTGCATCGTGAGACCCTGTCTGTCTCACCCCCGACCCCAGTATCATTCAGAGGGTGCTGTAACTGTCTAAG